GTGATGTTTGAAAGTGCACCTGACTGTGCACCTGCAGAAAGATTCAGAGACAGACAGGGGATGCATGACCATGACTGAAGGCTTTTGAGAATCTTCTTACTCAAGCATGTGATTAAGACAGTCTTTGCTGTATTAAAAAGCCGCCCCAAAATCTACTGTATTTCTCTTAAATTGTATAGTATTAGAGATTATATTTTTTTTTAAATAAAAAGAAATTAGATTTCTAATCTTATGGCAGGAACTTTGTATTCACTATGCCATACTAAACCTGTATCACTTGGCTGGTGCCTATAAATATCTGTTTTGTTCAGAGGCAGGTAAAAATTGCAGGTAGTATATGGGAGCAAATGTGGGAAGGGAATTCCTTCTCAACTCACATGGTTCATCATTTTTAGCTCTTTGAGGCGCACGGGTTGATTATACAAGTTGTCATGATTTTTTTTTTTTTTTTTTTTTTTTTTGCAAAACAGTGGTTGTGTTTGAAGTACTATGTTTGACTCGGAAGCTAATATATTTGGTATTTAAGAATCTGGCGAGAGAAAGCTATGTCCCCATATGCATGCCCAGAAATGAGATTGGGATGTAGGCATGCGTAACTGTTATTTCTCCCCGTCTGTCCTATCCCTAGAAAGCCATATGCCACCCTTAGGCTAGTATAATGGGAGTCTGTATTAATGATTATGAGCTAGAAATAATCCAAGAAAAGTTGAGTGGCCTTTGATTCTTCTAGCTTTATGAGAAAATACCTCATCAACTTGGTAGAGTCTGAAATATGTTCTGGGATAGAAAGTCATAATTGATATAAAATTTCATAATGCCCTCTCTTGAGTTGTGTGTGTGTTGTTTTTTTTTTTTTTTTGGCTAAATTGGTCTGGGACTTGGGGATTCTTATGTCTAACAGGGAGAGTGGGAATTTAAGCAAGGAGGTAAAAATTTAGAGGGAGTTGTTCACTCACCTTCTATCAGAAATAAATATCTTGAGCATACAGCTCTAGAGAGCCTACGCTCTGCAAGATTTCTATAGACATTGAATGCCTTGTCTGTTGGCAGCCTACAAAATGAAAACTGTATGTATGTATGCATGTATAGAAGTGGTGATGGGAAAAGGAGAATGTGGGAATGGGCTGAAGTATTAAAGCAAGCAATGAAAGCAGATGGTTTACTTTGGATTTTATAAAATAGATTTCTCTTCATTTTGTTTTAAATGAAAACTATCAACTGTCAACATTGCAAACCTATTTGCAGCATTGCCGTAAGTATTAGAAGTGCAGTTGTCCCTGAATCATAAAAGGACAGAGGATTTTTCTGCTGCTTCCCATCTTCATGTTTATAGAACTGTGTATGCTCTGTATACATTAGAGTTGAGCAATTTCATCACAGCCTTTCCTCAAAGTTGATTGCTGTTCAGTGTCTCTTCCTGCTTCCTCTCCCTTGTCAGTTGGTTACATCTCTGACTCTCATTACATTTAATATTGGTACTGGTTCAATTTTCCACTAAACTGGAAGCGTTTAAGGGTCTGGAGTGGATACTGAATGTCTAGATAAATTCTTTAAATGCTTTAATTCCTATCATTGTGGAAAAGTTTAGAGCTGGATTATTGCTTTAAGAAGAAATGACTCTGCTCATTCGGTGATGAAGTCTGGTCATCAAGATGTTAGAATATGTGCTGCAGAGCTCTTCAGATACTGACACGAGTGCAGAAGTTGTTGCCAGCAGCTGTCTTGGGTTTTGGACACCTGCTGCCTCTCATTTCTCGCATCTCCCACTCTATCTTCCACTTCCAAAGTTAGAAGTGCCCCTAAAAATACTCTGTATTGAGTTCTTAAGTAGGAGATGTCTCCCAAGCTGGTAGTCTGGATTCCTAAGTCATTGGTCACACTGTAGTGAAATTATTTATATGGCAGAGTTATTGACTCTGGCAATGTAATGGACATTTCCTGTGCGGATGGCGAGGCGCTGGCCCAGGGTGCTCAGAGCAGCTGTGGCTGCCCCCTCCCTGGAAGGGTTCCAGGCCAGGTTGGATGGGCTTTGAGCAGCCTGGTCTAGTGGAAAGTGTCCCTGCCCGTGGTAGGGGGGTTGGAATTAGATGGTCTTTAAGGCCCTTCCAATCCAAAACATTCTGTGGTTCTGTGATGATATATCTAGGGTGAAGCTGGTTCCAGGCAGGTTACAAAGGCATTGCCCTTCCTAAGGCCACTGTTTTGTCATGATGATCCCTTCCTCCCTCACCACCAATTGCAGAACTATGTTTTGATTGTTCACTGCCATTTTTACATTTGCCCAGGCCATGACAGACATGAGTGTTGTGCCCATTATGGCAGTCATGTATGGGTTGGAGAAAAGATGCTGGAAAATGTCCTTGTGTGTGAAATACTTATTTGGCGGTGTATTCTTGATTTAATTTGAAGTTGGACTGTTGATATGTATGTGGGAAAGCATCCTCTGCCTGAATAATCAGTGCTCAAACACAAAATTTTCAGAAGCACAGATGCATTACATACGTAGTTCCTATATCTAGCTAGAGTCTTTTCCAAGTGGACAGTGTTATCTTTTCCTGCCATATAAATACCTAGGACAGGGGTTGCCAGTTAGGCCTGAGATCCTGTTTCAATAACCTTTTGCTTCTGATACACTTGAGGAATATCTTGATTTGTTTTTGATCCCAAATGATTAAGTCCAATATTTATTCAGCTTCCTGTGATTGCTATCCAGTGGGTTACCTGGAAGAGAAATAAACCCTTCTTTTAGCAGAAGAGTTTAGCACTATTGACCAAGGGTGCTAAAAGATGGCTTGTGTCCCAGGGCTGGGATTAGAAAACTCACAAGTCCCCAGCTGGGAGCTGGAAGTGAAACTCACTCAGTTAGGAAGCAAGGAACCCAGATGTTGCTCATTTCTTAAACAGTTTACTTAAACTTTGAAAATATTGGTGGACACATTGTTTCTGGCAAAGTTGGTAAATGCAGGTCTACAAAGACATCTTGGCACATGTTTAGGAGGTAACAAAACTTAAACCAGTAGCTTTTTGTATTATTTTATTATTATATTTTATTTAGTCTGTGCTTCACTCCAAATGTAGTTATTTTTTCCCAATGCAGCAATATGTCCTACTGCATCTACACCTGTTTTAGTTTTCCTGTTTCCATTCAATTGAGTGTATTTGTCTCTTCTTGGAGTAATAATTTTCCCCGCTCCTGAAAGGTGACAAAATTAAAGCCTTTTGCAGTACCTGCGGAAGAGTTGCCTTGTGGTTAGTAACAGTGTTATCTTCCCTAAAACCATAATTCTACTACTGTGCATTGTATCTTATAGTTGTATAAGAGGGACCACCTCTTGCTGATGGGGCTGGTTCCTTCTCCTTGCTCTCTTCTCAGCAACTGTCCAGTGCCACTGAGTTAGTACCTTGTGTTCATTTTGTCATGCAAGTGTTTCCCCACCAGGAATGTGACAGTTAATGATTTAGACACCCCAGGGAGGACAGATGGAAATCCAGTAAAGAGCTACTACCAGTGTGCATGACCTACCTGCTGGAATAGTAACATGCACCATAAAGAGGCCTGTGTTCCTCCTGTCCATCTGCTGAGGACGGACAGCCTTGCAATTGCTAAAATATAAAACCAAAACTAAGCACATCTGTCTTGACTGTAAAAATCAGCAGAAAGAGAAATGTTATTCAAATCAGGCTTTTGTCAAGATGGGTCAGTGATTACCGGTGAACACCTGTTGTGTATTGGTTTTTTTTGGCAAAACTTGATGCTGCTACATCAAACCTGTCTGCAGAAAGGGGGGAATTGTCTTCCCCCAGCTGAACTGTAGATGTCCGGTTCCAGCCCTCTCATCTGTTGCAAAGGATGAGGATGGACGACACACATAACTGATGACGCCTCGTCCCTCAGTTACCTAAAGTAGTCACTCTGTGCCATTAAAACGATGACAGATCCCATAAACATACTGCACTTCACTGTCCGTTCCCTCTGGAACTGAACTATGACCAAGAGGAAAGTTCCTCCTGCCCTGTCAACTCCCCTCAAATAAATAATCATAATAAAGAAGGCCAGCCTTTCTGAAGTTCCTGCTTAGCGAATGTTCTGCTGATTGAATGTAGCCCTGAGAGGCAGGGAAGGCTTGTAGCCCGACAACAAATGAGAGCAGTGGCTGCCTCATAAATGCCTTGGCTTCAGAAGGAGGTGGTTATGGGCATGAAATGTTTATCATCTTGTACTTGCTTCGCTGCTGCTGGATTACTGTGTAAGTAAAAGGTAGTTATAAGTAAATAAGAGGTGGTACTGCAGCCTGCTTCATCTACTTGTCTTCATACTTAAATAGGCTTGCCAACAAAAGAAGGAGCAGGTGAAGGCAGCTTGAATTTGGCAGAGGTTTGGACTGTGCACTAAGGATGTGTTCAGTTGCCTATGAAGGGGCATCTGGTTGGAAAGCTGATCAGACAACTGGTTTTCTGTTAGGAAGCACTCTTTGAAATTGTCCAGTAAAGAAAATTACTTGGTATGTAGGTCAGCTTGTGCATTCAAAAATGCCCTTGCAAAAGGATACTTTTGTTCTTTTCAGGTAATTTAGAAACAGCACAGTTGTTGGCCACCTCCTTTTGAGTATGCTCAGCATTGCCACGTTCATGGGTGCATGTTGTGGGTATTAGCATCTCTAACATTGTGCAGCACCCTGCATGACTCCGTGAAACTGGCTGTTTCACAGCTGCCTTTGCTTAGCTTCCACCCTACTGGGGAATCCTGCAGCAATGTTTGGGCGCTTTGCTTTGTTTTTATTTTTGGGGGTGAGCATGTGCTTTTGTTTTGCTTTAATAGCACAGTTCCCAACAGGGGACAGTACTGCACTGCTTAAGATGCTTGTCATTTTTAAGGAACTTTTCTAAACTTGTCATCCTAAAAGCTATATTGTGCAGCAGCAGGCGGCCTCCATAAATCACTGATTTCTCTTTTTCTTCTCTTTCCCTTCCTTTCTCTCTTGCACTCTCTTTATTCCAAGCCTGTGGATTTGGACGCCTGGGTAAGCTCTCTTTTTTTGTCTGGATCTTGCTTATTCCAAGTGTCATGTTGTTACTGCGCACGTACAGATTGTTATTGCTGAGCACAGATGCAGGATTTTATTTTCTGTCATTACATTTTAAAAGGTGTTCAGCTAGAAAATTGCATATTATTTCCTCCATAAAGATTTTCACTGGTTCCTTTTGTGTAGCTTACAGCTGCTGAAACCAAACTTGATCTGGTGATATGTGTTGTTGGCTAAGAGAGTAGCAGAAACAGGAGGAAATGAAGGTTACACCAATACTGCTTTTTAAGGCCATGAGTCTGCATCTGGGTCCTAAAACAAAACAAAACCTAGTCACCTGCCTTCAACAGAATGAGATAAAGGACAAACAGCAAGTGGTTTTGTAGGCCCTGCATGTCTGGAATAGTGACTGCAGGCACCTCCGCAGTAGTGGTGATATTTCTGCTGATACAAGCGGAGGTTGAGTCAAGGCTCCCCCATGGTTACTTGTCCAGTACAAGCCTCCCTGTAAAGTTCTGCTGTTCAGTCTCAGGCATGATGTGTGCAAGCTGCCTCTTGCTGTTTCAGTGTTGTCCTTTCAGCTCCCTTTAGGCTTGGTGAGGAACACGCCAGCTAGCTAATTTTGGAACTAGTTCTGTTCTTCAGTGCATTGCTGTCAATTCCTTCTTCTAGACTTGGAGCCTTTAATAGCATTTGTTTTTCTCCTCTGCCACCTGGACTGCTACCAGGACTGGAAGAGACATGGGAAAGCATGAGGTATAAGAATTTACAGTTGTGAAGTGTGGCAAGCTGAGGTACCCAGCCAAAACATCTCTGCTGTGCTGCTGCAGAGATGTTACAGGATACCTTTGGGGGGAAGCTGATAACTCCTCTCAGCAAAGACAGGATGATGTAGAAACAAGCCATTTGGTAGAGACTTAAGGACCTTTCCTTCATCCTTGTAGCTTCTTTCTCTGGATTGCCTCCGACTGATTCTCTAGGCGTCATCTCACTAGTTCGTCTGTGACTGGTGAATGTGTTTTGCCAAGAAGATAAATATTTTTGCAATAATCTTGCCAAGTGCTGTGACTTGCCTGTAAGGAAGTTCTTGATAGATTGAGGTATGGACCTTTCCTTCTAGCTCGACTTGCCCTTTGCAGAGAGGGGTGTTTTTTTTTCCTCCAGTAGGGTCTTATCCTTGCCCTCTCCCCAAATCCCAGATCTCCAACAGCAGAGAGAGACAGCCTGATGGTAGCCATCAGCAGTGGGCTGTGCTATTGCTGCACTTTATTCCTGGGTGTCACATTCCCTACTGTAATCTGACTCTGCCAAGAAGCCCTTTTTTCCAAGCAGATTTCCTTCCTAGTTTTTGTGTTTAACAAGGTGATGAGAAGGGACTGTGATTAAAAATAATAAAAATCTGGTGGTATTTCATGGGGGGCAAAGCCAAAGCTGATCTGTGAATGGATATATCTAGAGCGAAGTGCAGCTCTAGAAGCTCAGTTGCACAGTCTGATGTGTTGCATGTTGGTGTCAGTTCAGGACGAGGCTGAGTGTCTGGCTTTGTTCATAGAGAATCAACCAATAATATTTCATTACCTCAATCAAGAGGCTTGTAAAATATTTCTTTTGGCCTGCCTGTCAGCTATCAGGCCAGTGCTTGAATTCTTTAGTTAAGCCAGTATGTAGTGCATAGCTTTAGAAATATGCTTTCACAGTTTGTTTCTAAATGAGTTACTTGATAAAGGGAGAGGAGGAGGCAGGGAATTGCACGTGGCTCTGCCCTAGCTCTTTGTCACTGTTCAAAGCAGCACCGAGATAACCTGAAAAACTTTGGGCTGTGGAAAAAGTGTAAAGTTAAAACATAGGAAGAATTTGAAAAAGCCCCCAACCAGCCTGTGGATCCATGCCCATGGAAGCTGTAGTAGCATGCTGGTAGTATACCTTCACTGACCTTCTGTAAGAAGGTAATGCTTGTAACTTCTGACACATTGCAGGGAATTCTTGAACATCATTTCCTGAATATATCTTATACTTAGTTTTTGTACAGAGGGAAATTGCCTATTGCATACATTCTCTTTTGCGAATACATGCTGTCCCATGCTACTTTTCTAAGTTTTGGCTGTGTTTGTGTGTTCTACAACTAACTGTGCTCTTTCTCCCCTCCCTCTGATTTGTTTCTGTCTTCATGCTCTTGGACATCACATTCTACTGTTTCTTAGATGTCATCTCTGAGCTTTGGTCATCTCTTGCATGATATGTTCAATCTCAGATGTAGCTTCTGCAGTGTGGATGTGAAATGTGACTTTCTGATACGTGATTTTCAAACCACTGTGTTGTCATGCATGTCTTCCCTTCTCCTTCCTTCTTTGCTTCTGAAGGCCTTTATGTGAAAGGTGTATCTGAGGCTTTGTTTGGCACCTGCAATTTCAATTCCCTATGTAATTGTAATCATCTCCATAGCAGCCAGTTCTGTCTGGGACATCACAGGCTTCTGACTCCAGGTAGGGAATAAGCAGCAAGAGTAGAGGAACTCTTAATAAATATCCTGTATTCATACAAAATGTCCCTTTTTGCCTAACCCAGTTTGGAACAGTGAATATTTCAAGTGACACATGCTCTGACTGTACCATTCATACTTCAAACATCATCATAAAGTGTACTAAAGTTTCTAGTAATAACAGCTGGGGATAGAGGGAAACAGAAAGCAACTTTCAAGCAGATCTGTCACAAATAGAATGTTTCTTAGTATACTTCAATGCACTGAAACAGCAGCTCTTGAAAACAAACAAGGCATTGAAAATATGTTTGAATTGAGAGTAAAAGTTTTCTGTGCAACCTCTGGTTCATCATACAACTTATGGGCAAGAAGTGCGAGATAATGGGAGATAGTATGGCAAAAATTACTTAGAGGGAAGAATCACCTGTATACTGAAGTTGTAGTCTGCAATTGGGAGATCCAATTTTGCAAGATCCTAGGGAAGTCTAACAGAATGTCTGCTGCAGGGTGTGTTTATGTAGGGGCATTATTCACTGTGGGCACCCCAGCTCCAGTCAGGTAAGCTTGGAAGTCCGTGGGTCACCATTATGTAGATCAGCACACCTCCAATGTGTCTGCATTTCAGCACCCCACTTGAGAGATTAGATATTTGGTTTGTGTTCCCTTCCAGGGATGTCATATCCATGTCTTGCCTGAAACAGAATAAAGCCCCTTTTCCACCAGTATTGTTACAGGTATTGATTTTGTGCTCCCAGAGCAGTCTGCTACCCCAGAAAAGTAGCACTGCCACATAATTGATTTATTTAAATTAAGAAGAAACTTTCTTGCATTTTTAAGAGTTGATCTTCTGAATCTTTTTTTTTTTTCTTTTTACTTTTTTTTTCTTGAAATACACATCAAAAGCACCTTCCATCTGAATTGTGCAGAGGGGTCATTACTTCTCTCTCTTCCTTATTTACTTTCTCCTTAAGGAAATACAAATCACTTGTTTAGTAATCTGATTTTATGGGTGTTATGCAGAAAATCAGCAGGAGAATCAGGTTCCTTTGGTCATTCACCAGACCACCCTGCCTTCTTACATCTGTTTCATTTCAGTTGAAATTGCTTATTCCTTTTCTCTATAAATGATGGATATTGGTTCAGAAGGATAGCTTTGGTTCTCTTATCACAGAAACGGTGATAATTTTGGTACCGAAAAAGTGCCCATCAGTGCCCCTATTGTTGCTGTGATATCTCTTTGGTCAGGCTACATGTATGGGACAGCTAATTCTCATCCCCCTTCCCATCCTGTTTCAGCTGATTTGTGGTCTGGAAGATATATAGCAGCTCTGGTCAAACCAAAGCCACAGATTTTGCCTTTAATCAAGTGTCTTTGAGAGCAAGGGGATTTAGATGTGAGTCTATAGTGCTTGTGCCTTACCCTGGGCCTGTTGGCTGGATGACAAACATGGGAATCAAAATATTTCTTTTTCCTTTACAAACAAAACACCACCACCACACCCCCGCAAACCCCCTATTTCATGTACTCCTACTTCTTTTCTTGCTTGCTTATCAACTGTCCCTCACTGCCTAGTTTAAAATCTCTTCTAAGCCCAATTATACCACTGTATTTCCATCAGCAGGGGAGTAGAAAGAGGGAAATGCACAGCAACTGGCTTTCAGATGTAATTTTTCTCATTAACAATGGCTGTTGGCCGTAAAATGACAGTTCTGAGCCCATGAGGATGTTTCTGTCCCAGCTGCTTAATCATACTGGACCAGCATTTTCTGTGATTGTACCATCATCATTAATAGTTAAGAGCAATGCTGCTGGGATGCTGTAGATTAGCAGGGTTTGTGTTCATGTTAAACAGACTAATAATTGCAGTTTTGAAAGGTCTTCTTGCCTCGTGATTACTTATGTGGCCCCAGAGATTTTGGGGTGGGATGGGGAAAGAAAAACAAGTGCCATTCTTCTTGGTGTTCTTGCTTGTTATATTTAAGCTTAAAAAGTTTGGTTCAGGTCAGTCAATGCCATGTTTTCTTAATGCTAGTTCAATTTAGGGGGGGGAATGCAGTGAAGTGCTACTGGTTGTGAAGAGATAAAAGGTAGAAGGTGTTGCTGTAACCACACGATTGATCATTGCTTAGTTGATGACCAGGTTATGCTTAAGCATGTGCTTGTATACCGAGTTTGCTGTTCTGGAAGTGTCGTTCTTATACTTTGGAGATGAAAGAGGAATTTTCTGATGCCCATCTCCCCTTCAGATCTGCAGCACTCAACCGGAGGAACTCTGGAGGTGCTGGTGGAGTCTGCACAGAGAGTGTGTGGACAGTGTACTTAATAATCAGGGTGGTCCTATGTATGTGTGTAAAAGCAAATGCATGGCAGTAGGAATGTGTGTTGCTATAAAAATGTTACAACATAGGCTTGTATTTTGGATTTTCCTAATGATTGTAGGAATCTGTTAAATCTATAGAAGTTTTCTGACACTCCAAGGGACAAGTGTTTGTAAAGTGGAGTAATAAACATCATGGTTTGTGAAAAACAAAGACTTGGATAAGGTGGAGTTCTGAATAATGCAATAGAAAGGTGCTGCCTTTCTGTAATTATATGTTTTCATTTAATAAGGAGAAATAAAATCAAGGGTATGAGTTTGAGTATGATGCTAGTAAGAGTGTTTCCAACTTGGGAGGATGATCCAAAATGAACTGCAATACTGAAGATTTGTAGTTCCACTGAGAGGGATCCCATACACCAGTCCTGAGCAATGATTTTTTTAATCCCTTCCAGTCTGCATCTCGTGTGCTTAACTTGCACTCACTCTTCTTGTTTTTAATTTCTTCTTCTTCTGATGTTATTTTGTTCCTCTTCCCAGGCCGTGGAGCTACAAGGCAGGGAGGCAGAGTTGAAGCGGCAAGAGGCCTTCTACAAAGAGCAGTTGGCCCGCATTGAGAGGAAGGTGAGGCTGAATTGTCTTTTTTTTGAGGCCTCTGAACACTAATGGGATTGGATGTAGATCTGTGTGGATCTAAAGAGTAGAGAAACAAGAAGCATTGTGCTGAAATCTGGAACTGTCAGCTTCCAGTATCTGTCTGCCCCCCACCCCTTACATAGTTAAGTGATGAAAAAGCTGTATAAACCGAATCTTTTGAACAACTTGCATTTAAAAGGTAAGGGGTTTTTTAACTGGATGATTTTTTATTAAAATAATTCAAACTTTTTCTTTTTCACCACGGGGTTTAGGTGAAAGCTAAGTTCAAAACAAGTGCCTTCTATTTTTTTTTTTTTCATTCCTTTTGTTAAAAATCCTTTCCTAAATTAAAAAAAAAAAAAAAAAAGCAACCAAAAAAACCCAAACACCACAAATCTTGCTATAAATATGAATTAAAATTGTATTATTAATTTTTCTCTTGGGAGCCTAACAGTTCAAAGGGTGGTGCTTCAGTGCATTGCCTGCTTCTTGCTGGATAAGCCTTTGAAATGAACATGATTTAAAGAGACACTGGCAAGCATCTTTTAAGCCTGAAATGACCTTTGAAAATCCATTTAGGGATTTGAATCTCTCCCCTAAACATGGGATTTGGTTCTCTGTTTAAATGTTTACCATGATGAGTTTTTAAAAATTGATGCCATAAAAATTAGGAGCAGCCATGCTGTTCCTTATGAACTAATATGTTTTTCACTTCCTGGCAAAATGAAATGATGTTATCAGTAGTCTTTATTTTTTAATAAATACGGAGAATAATCTTCTCCAATTTGAAGCAATTAGACCTCCTGACAGGGACTTGCATACATCTGACCTGTAGTTGTGTTATGTGACTAAAAAGAAATGCAAACAATGAAAAAGGTGAGTTGTAAAGAGAGAGAGATCAGCTGTACTACCAACATGTAGCATGATGGTGAATATGGAACATGGGAAAACTGCAGATTATAGAAATGGTAGGAAACTATTGGCACAGCTATTCCCCTTCTCATTCCCTGCTACTGCATGATTGTCCATACAGCATTTTTTTTTAAGCCATTGATGGTAAAACATGCCCATGAGCAATTTCGCATGATACAATTTTGCAACGCTCTAATCCATACAGTTCATTAAAAAATAAACTATTAAAACTACCACTCAGTGTTGCATTCAGATTTTTAAATTCTATTTCTAGATAATGGGGATTGTTCAGTGAAATTGCAAACAATCTAGCAGCTATCGTTCTAATTATCACAGTTGTCCATATGTTCATCCGCAAAGGGAATTTTTGCAATTTCTTGGTCTCATGCTGTGTGCTTCTATTATATTCTTCTCTCTGGATCTCGTTTCATGAAGCGGAAACTGCAGGGAAAATTTGTATGTGTGTCTGTCCTTTATGGACAGTGGAGTGGAGAGAAGTTTGTGTCCAGGCTGCATTGTCCTCTTTTTGAAGTCTTTTGTTGTGTTTTGTGTTTCCCTTTTCAGGTCCGTGTCCCTTGCTACACGGTAACTTTTTAAACAAGGTGGTAGATATTTTAGTGCAGGATCTTCTCGGGGGAGTAAGGTAGCTTGCCCATAGTCTTATCGAAATTGCAGAGGTGCATAGAAACTATCTTCTAGTTCTTACATGTACAAAAGCAAGTAGATAAAAAGGACAGGTTTTCTTTCCTCTCTTGAAACACTAGATAGTTTCTGACCCTTAAACACTAGCATTTTGCTGGTAATAAAATAGAAGTATGCCTCCAACCGTTTGGATTGGAGTGGGAGGTGGTGGGGGCTAGAAAGGAGAGGAGAGAAATGTACTTGAAACAGTGTAATAAAGCTTAATTGTATTAGTTTTGAAAAAGGTTTTTGATCTTCTCTGTGGATAATTTTATTCCTATAATGGTTGGAAAGATGGAAAACACAGCACAGAACAATCTTTTTTTATTAGCTGTTGCTTTTATATAATTCTACTTTTATTTGTTGAATACACGCAAACCTTGTCATTTATTTATTTATATTTTATTCCATTGTGCTAAAACCTTCCAACTCAGGCTTAGATATATTTTTTATATATCTGTGTATATATGTGTGTGTCTGTGTTAGAAAAAAGCTATTGGTAAGGGGATGAGGTGGGGAGGAGCACTGAAATAGAAGTTTGCTTTTTCTGCTGTTTTCAGAGGGGATGGTCATTTGGAATGTGGTCACTGGTAATTCAGAGGTCGTGTTCTGGGAGTAAGTCAATGTGATGGCTCAGTGTGAAGTTAGAAAGCTGAAATTTCTCCTTCTAAGGAGCAGGCTGTCAGGAATTCCCCCTTCTCCTCCCCTGCTGTGCCTATCTGTAACCTCAGATTGGCTTTGCCCCCACTTATGCATGATAACAGAATTCAGTAGTAGGAGACTTAAAGATTTGTTTTTGAAGGATGGTTTGAACTGTTAATGTTGAGAACTAAGTACCTTCCCGGTAGGATGCTAAGAATAATTGTGTTGTGTACTCCTTACAATGTAGTAGCTGCTGCACTGAATCACACACAGAGACTGTCCTGTTTCTTCTGACAGTGGTCAGTTTTCGAAGACTTTGAAGGAAGATGTAAAAAAGCCTCATCAAAACAAAACAGCAAAAAAACCCCGCTTTTGGAGAACAACTTTGAGAAGAGTCTTCCTAAGTGTTGTCAGTTGAAGGCTGACACATGCCCTGCTGCAAAAGAGTTTATTTTCATTCAGTATTTTTATTCACTGTAATGGAACTTGGACTACTGCCATCGTTCTTCTATGTGTCTCAGGCATTTTTCCTGAAGCCTTGTTTAGCTCTTTGCCTCCAATATCATGTGGCAGTGTGTGCCACAGGTTAACTTTTATACTCTATAAATTCTCTGTTACCAGTTTCAAATACTTTTTTTCATTTAATATCCTTTATGTGAAAGAGATAAAAGGAATTCTCTTTTATTCATTATCTGTAGACTTCTGTTCCCCCTTTTACCTTCCCATTAAACTGAGCAGTCCTCACCTTTTCAGCCTTTGCTTGTGTGAATGACTTTTTCCAGGTTTCTCATTCTACTTGTTTGTCTTTGGGCCCTTTCTCCCTTGCTGCTCAGTCTTTGAGATGTATTGACCAGAATTGAACTCAGTAGTTCCTTTGAATGCAGCAGATTGTGTGAATAACATTATCCTTTTATTTTGTAATCTCTGAAAGAGTACTGTAATCTGCTGGACAGAGCACAGAAATGGAAGCAAAAAACTGCTCATTTTCTAATAGCTGTTTCTCTTTTGGGAGTTTGAAACAATTACTTAGTCCATCTATCTCAGTTATTCCATCTATATGATGGAATAGCTTATAATGGGAGGGCAAAATGTTGTGAAACAGCAAAGCTATAAAAATGCTAAAAAGGCTTTGCCTTCAGTTTTGCATGAGATGAACTATCAGTGTACCTTATTTCAAATAGATCTTGAGAAACTCAGTTTCTCTAGACAGTCTTATTAAAATTTTCACAGGAAAGGGCATGTATGAAAAAATAATTTCAGTGTTTCATCTTTTGGGATTTTCCCTACATCATCTACTAAAGCACTGGAAGAAGTAAGGTGATGAGTGCAGCAGTGCTGTGTCACACTGAAGATCTGTCTAGTTCAATATGCTGGTGGTCCTGAGTGTGACCAAAAGTGGATGTCCAGGGATGAGCATAAGATAAGTATATGGGATACTTGCCCCAAATGCATTTATCATCCTGGCTGGTCATCTTTGAACCTTTTCCACATCTATTTAATCCTCTAAGAGGTGTGAACCAGAGCTGTGCACAGAGCTCAAGGTGTGGGTGAGCCATGAATATATATGGTAGCTGTGTCAGAATCGCTGTTTGGTTCTCTGTTTCACTGTAGTGCCTAACACATGATTTGCACTTCTGACTTGTGTTGAGCAAATGCCACACACTACTGCTACTAGGAGCAGTCAGCTATTTTGAGTGCTGATTTGAATACATGAAGTGATTGTACTGGGATTAAACCAATGCTGTGACTTTTTGTTGGGAGATATTCTTCCAACTGCACCCTTCATTATTAGTTTGTCAAGGGTTGTGTGTGTGTGAAGGGGTGGTAGGTTTTGTTATTGACCTATTTTTCACAGGTTTTGTTATTATTTTGATCTAATAATCTGTAAGGAAAACCTTGAAAACACTCAAATTAAGAAGTTTAAGCTGATGTTCTTTCATGCATTTGTATGTTACTGAGAAGCTGGGAGGGAGATGGAGGGAGCTTGCTGTAAATAGTTAACATATACACTGCTCAGAACTGGGATTTTTATTACGGATTCTGTCTATGCATTGTTCTGCTTCCTCCAAATTATAGAAACATCCTTCAAAAGGTATGCTAAGAAAGAAATGCAGTCTTTCCTGGAGCACTTCAGATGCCAGGAGATTTCACTTAGCATATTAGTTGTATTCTTTCTCCAAAGTAAGTATTTGCTTGACTCTTTTTGCTATTTGGCCTCTTGCTGGGTTTAACCTGCTACAGTGTAGTAAAACATGGGGAAGCTATTTGGAGTAGTGTAACAGCAGAGAAAGGCTGAAGGTAATCTCGGCAGATGAAGTGAAACTCCTTGCTATAGATGATGTCTCTTCTTTGTTCGGATTTTCCTAAGCTCCAGCTCCCATGTTATCTTTTATTAGGTGTCTCTGGACTACTGTGAGCAGTGGGTACATTAATATGCAATGTTTTTCTGCTTGTAGTTTTTCAGAACAGTAAGTAGCACAAGAGGTATTCATAAACTGTAGAGTATTTATGCAAGTGGAAAAGGAATCCATTAAACCAACACATTTTTTTTTTTATTAATAAGGTAGACTCAACCTTTTTCTCTGCTTAGCTTCACAAGTCTTGTAATTTTCTGTGTGGCATTCACCTTGTTTGTTTTGTTTAAATTAATCTCCTTTTGCCCTTGCACTAACCGTTTAATTCACGTTTGTAAAGCATTTAGGATGTGTAAAGAATGGGAAGAGAACTTATTTTTGTTTGTTATTCTTATTGGC